GCATAGCAAGGCTTATCAAATATAACTCTACAAACAGCAAACAGGGGATCCAACAAACGGGAAGGAAACAAGAACTTGAATGCATGCAAGTCTAATCACAAGGACAAGACACAGCTGGGGAGGTGAACACAATCAGTTAGTCAAACAGGAGGGAGAGACAGGAAGTAAAGCAGACATTAACATCGTAAGTTAATTCGTAACGAGGTTGATTTCTCTGAGCTTTCACACAATGCATAAAGCAAGCAAACGCCAAATGAATCTAGATACAAGTTAGGAAAAGTGTCTTTGGTGTTAAGGCCCTGACACACCAGGCAGTCACCAGAGAACTCGCCGACACCGACAGTTCCATCGACGAGTTCTCCTGCGTCTTGGCCATGTGTCGCACTGGAACACACCGCAAAGACTTCAGCCGAGCACGTACGAACTGCGCATGCGTGAGTGGCAATAACTCTCCTTACCAGCAGGCGGCGGTAGTGTGTATTCGTCATTCAAAATAGGCAACAACCGGAAGACAGAGAAGAAGAACAGACTGATATAAACAAACAAATAGCGTGTGCGTTCCATTTTCACTCTCGTCCATCGAAAACATGTTTTAGAATATAAAAATACATGAATGATGAAATGAGCACATAAAGTGCAGACATACTATAAAATCACAGTTAATAGACCTGCATCTGATGATCGCAGTGTTCTGGCGGGTGTGTAGTTTATTGAGTCAGCAATGTAGTAATGTATGTATGCCACTTCTTGCTAAATTTACATTTCCATGTGATGCTTTTATCCGAGTTGACTCACAATAGGTAAATGAACAGCAGTAGACAGTATCTCATTTACTGCACTGTACTTAAGGACAATGTTGAGGTACTTGAGACTAATCCTGCAACTTTATACTGACAAATAAACCCATGAGATGAAAAACCGGACTTGACCAAACAAATCACGGAGCTCTCAGCAGAGGACAGCCGGGGACGCTCCCGCCGATATCAGAGATGTCCCTGCTATGTGTGGGAGGTAAGAGAGGACATTTAAGGGCTATGTTTGATGTCTTTAAGTATCACCTGCTGGGGTTTAGCTGCTGTCCTGTGCCTTCTTAAATCGTTTGTTTACGTCCCTCACTTCCGTTTCGCTTCTCATTTGCTAGCTGAACAGCTGATCAGAGTGGTTTCTTGGCCCGATAGCTTGTGTCCGTATTTTGGCTGATTCAACATGTTGAATCGGCCGGGTGTCGACCGTGAAAGGCCAAATAAGGCGTGTCACGGCCGAGGGTTCGGGACACACCAAATTGACTTTGGGCGACAAGGAACGCGTTGTTGCCAGACAACCGAAGACGGCCGAATACGGCCTGGTGTGTCAGGGCCTTTATGTATTCAAACTAGTTTTGTGTTACAGGTAACTGAGCGAGAATACAGAAACACAAGTTATATATACATAAACCCTCTTACTATATTTTGCACATTCTTGCACACATGTCTGCAAAGCCCTCCACCTAAAAATATAACTGTAGTTTGTCATATATTCATTATGTTTTTGTTTTTTGTAGCTTTTAAGGTACTTTGTATATATAAATTAGGTGTAAATACTTGTCTTTACTCTTTTTTTAATGCTAAATAGTTTCTTAAAAATACTTGAAAGACATACAACATTTTTAATACCACAGGTCACATCCATTTGCTAATTGCATGACAATGGTCTCAGTTGCACACTAGTGTTTGTCAAATTATACTATACTCATACTGTAGATAGAAAAAGTACCCGGATCATCCTGGGACTTGGGCCCATAGAGCATAGGCACTGTAGTGTTTCTTAAGCTTTGAGATGAATGGAGAGGGAAAATAAGTCTGGATTCGGCTTTTGCGCTTTTTAAACTTTTAGGCCCTAATGATACTGATGGAAGTGTAGTACCAACTCTGGCCACTTAGAACATTTGCTTTGCGCCTACTGGGGTCAGCCACTATAAGGCCACACAACAAGTTGAAAGAGACTACATATAACAAAATGAGACCCAATCAGAAAGGCAAAACCCAATCGCAGAGCAGACTATATTTCAAAAATCACACAACAATAAGTTTCCATCCTGCCACAATGCTTTTATCTAGTCAGCTTTTGACACAAGTTCAACTCTGCGTGACTTCTCACAAACGACTGTAATCCTTTTCTCTTTCCAGTAGAGACCAACTGGGCTACACAATGCAACCGACAGTGTGCAGGCCTGCAGATGCCCTCTGCACAGCTTAACACAGCTGTGCCCTCAGCTGTGCCCCCCTCCCCCCCCCCAACCCCTCCTCCATCTCACCCAACCCCTCCTCCATCTCACCCCACCTCCACTTTCTCCTTGTTTGTTTACTGTGTAGATGATCGCGAGCCTCAAATTGACTTGCGGGATTGATTCGGCAACACCCTCCTCCCCTCCCCCTTCATTTGTCTCTCCCTCAAAATACTTTTGATTAATCCGGCGACCTCCTCTGTGAGAAGAAAAGGCGAGTCAAACAGAAAGGACGATAAAGGGGAAAACAGAGGAGAGATGGGACGCCTCTGTTATCCCAGGCAGAAAGTTGTGTGATCCATTCGATAAGAGAAGCTCCTTTCGATTGAGGAAAAAAGCAAGCTGCTTCCTGGAAGGGCAAATAAAGAGAGATAGAGAGAAACAAATGACAGATTGGTGGAGAAGTAATAGACAGTTTGCTAGGCCCTGTTACTGTTGCTACGCCTGCCAAGCTTTCCATTCTTAGTACATAGCTTATAATGACGGGGGCAGGAGAAGATCTGAAGCTAACTAGCTAATTAAGCCGCCGTTAGCTTGGTTGAAATCATTCAGGTTATGTGGGGTCATCAATACCGAGCAGAGCGAGGGAACAAGAGTGAAGGGAAAGCGGGAGGAGGGGGGGGGGGGGAGGCGACTGGAGCGTGCCTTGCTCTATTTGTCATCCCGCCCGTGGTCTTTGGTGACACCTTGTTCATTTGCGAAAGCGACTGTTTGAGATGCAGGGATCGATGGAGCAAATAAGAAGCAGGGCCCTGAAGATAGAGAAGGAGAAGGGGAGAGAAGCATTTGCAGTTTTCATTACCCACACATCTGCATTTACGCACTGGCACACGTCACTGTTTGCACTGCGTTTCATGTATGATGCAGGACAGATGGGATAAGCGATAACCTTTGGAATTAACAAATGTCTGCTCGTTCCACACATCGCCTAAAAAGAATAAGCTTGTTAGCTAGCATGTGAAAAAAACGTTAGAATCTTCCATGAAAAGAGGACAAATTTGTTTCGTCGTATTTAATTATACACTTCCAAACTCAAGGCTAGGGTTAGGGTTAAGTTGAGAGGGTGGTAAGTTATGTTTAGTTTGTGTTTGTCACCATGGCCAGCATTGACTTTCTATCTCCACCTGATGACTTTACTTCCATCCATTATGTTGGCAGAAATGTTGATGTGAAATTGATTTATTTTAATAGTAGCTGTTGCCCCCAAGAATCTAATAATTACCTCTGAGATTACATTTTTCCTCTGTATAAGGGATCCGTCATCTTGACAAACATGCTGTCATTTTAAGAATGCATTGAAGAAAAAAAAAACCCTCATGTGCTTCATCACAATGATGCAGGTTTAGTTTTTTCTGACCAGAATTCAAACTAAAATTGGTTGATTTTCAAGCTTAAATCTGTTAGTGACTTAATAAAGATGGCTAATATGAGCTATTTAGCGTTTCTGTTGTTACATTTGTTTTTTGAGCTTACAAAAAACACTTAATTGGTCACTTGGCAGACTTGTGTCATGCTCAACCTAAAATATAGTAGTAAAATAAAGTTTGAAAGGTTATTAATTAAGGTCATGTTTTGCCCAACATGTTAAAGGTTCAACACTCCTTAAGAACATTTTGGAAATACACAAACTTGCTATTGTTCTGCTCTAATCTCTGGGTAACTGTGCGGTCTGTCAATAAGCTTGGCATAAAGTGGCATCAAAGCGGGCAGCACATTTTATTCACTAAAATAAGAATGATTGTCCATAGTCCAACAGGTTGTGGTTTTATGTGAACTGCAACAACTTCCCGACATAAGATGGCAGATATACAGTGCACAGACATACAGTAAGAGTGGTATTGATTCCATAACCAATTGTAGGCAAATCAGCATATTTGCAAACTTTGTGCTAGAGTTAAAAACAAAAACGTGTTTATTCCCACTTTGTATAATGTAATAATAGCCGTTGCATCTTCTGAAGCTGGTCTGTTTTGGTTGTATGTCTCTTCCCGGATCCAAATGCATCATGGTAATGTGTGTTCATCATGACAACGTGACCACAGAGCAGCTGGCAGCCAGAGGCCGTTTTGTCAGTATCACTCAGCTCAGCGTGTCACATCCTATAAGGCACTGTTTTATGGCACACACTCCAGCGGTCTGAGAGGGATAAACACACACGTGCACACACACTGGCGAGCAGAGTAATGCATTCAAAAAGCCCCTAACATATTGCATGTACACATTCACAAACATCAGTGTGTGCTGCTCCAGTGACTGAATTGAAGTTAGTTTATATGGAGAGCTATGCACATATAAAAATCCAAGGTTCCATCAAACGGGGATTCGGTAAACAGCATTACAAAGTGCTGTTTACTGTGTCGGGACAGGAAATGAATTGAAAGCAGGCTCAGGAGTTGTCACTTTCTAATGTACTGTGTTCCTAAAGCTCTCTTTATCTATCTCTCCAGCAGGGGAATTCTCACTCCCGGCTTTGTCTGACCTGCGGTGTATTAGCAAGCAGACTTTATTCCTCCTAAATCTCCCACTCCTAATCCTACCCTGCTTCTCACTCTCTCTCCCCCCCCCCCCCCCCCGTTCCCGCCTTTGACAGATATACTGTACAACAGGGAGGATGAAATAGGAGACAGCTGGGAAGCAATTGTTTTTTTATGCATCGAGGAAGCACTGTGAGCGTTTAAGAGGGAGAATGATTGCTCTAACACCACTCATCCTTTCTCTGTTTTTCTTTTTCTTGCAGTGCAGTTCAACTTGATTCCTGTGGGGCTCAGGATAGTGGCCATCCAGAGCACCAAGACAGGGCTGTACGTCGCCATGAACAGCGAGGGCTACCTCTACACTTCGGTACGGTCAGCACATAGTACAGTATCGCAGTAAGCCTTTAAAGATCGTGATTTGAATGCACCAGTCTTGATTGCAAAACTGCCACCCTACATCTTGAGGTACATGAATAATGTGTGGCAACATAACTTGAAATGAAAAAAAGGGCACCATAATTCACACAAAAATATGATATACTTGCCACATTATTCTCCATCTTGTAAAATGTGATACCAGCAAGTTCTGACTTTATTTAGATGTATACAAATATATCTCATTTACTTTTACCAGGCACCATTTTGCATGTATACTGTAGCCAATGTCAAGCAATACTACGCAAAGTAGATCACTATTTTAAAAATAGTATATTATCCCTAGCCTTTTTTTCCACAACAAATGTTTAATGTGTTATTATAATTTACGATACAGATAAGTTAAACAGCAAATAAAGCATGTTTTTCTAAGCATGCTCAGTATTTTGTAATGTATTTTAAAGCTGCATGTCGACTGAGACTGAGTCTTTTTATCCCAACCTGGTTCCTTTTTACTCACACAGTGGTAGGCTGATGCTGGCATCTGAAACTGTGGGTAATGTCTGCCTCTGTGCATGAAACAGTTTCAGCTTTTGTACGCTACAACTTGTGGAACAGCTCATACGGTGCTTCCAGAGAGTTGTTTCTCCTTGATGTGCAGAGAGAAGCGGAGTCTTGAGAGTGAGATGGAGGAACAGACAAAGAAACAGAACGAGTATCAGAGTGCACTCTATCAGCATGCAGAGAAAAGCACCTTTTTTTTTGTGCCTTTTTCCTCTTGGCACACAGGCAAAGTGTGTGAGATCTTGTTTGAAGTGCATCGGTGCGCTCACTTCAAAGTCCATCAAAAGCTGCCTGCATGCATACTGCCAGAAAACAAGCAGATACAGGGTTTCTATGAAGAGGAACAATGGAAACTCAGCCTGGAGAGAACACGCATACAGTGAGAGACACAAGTCTGCTGCTGCATGTACAGTATGGGAACATCATTCAGTTGAAACATGTACGTTACCTAATGTCTGTCCTTCATTTATTTGCCAAGAAGGAATTGCAGTGAGACTTAACACAAGCCATTGAAGTTCAAATCCCTTCCCGGTCAACAAATCACATAACATGACAAGTAGTTGGCAAGAGTTCTTGAGTTTTATGTTATAACATGTGTTACTTAATGAATGTAGAATTGTTGAGCCTCATCTTGTAACAATAGGGAGAATTGAGCATTTTTCAATTAGAGTACCTGCTAATGCTAATGCTAACTTTGTGCTCGCTTTTCGTAGTGAATCGGGAAAAGCAACGTACAATGTTCTGGTACAAATAGTTTCCAAATAAACCCACATTGTATAATTCTTGTCCTTCAAGAGCTTGTTTCTTTGTCTAAATTAAAGTAAACACAGACATTATTTCAGTTGATTAGCATGCTGTAAGGCAACGGGAAAAGATTTGCGTCTTGGAAGGCTTTCCGTTTTTGGTCGTGTACTATTGACCAATCACGTAAGAGCCGGCTTTGGTCGAATGCAGGCAAAAATAATCCCTGTGGAAAGCAAAAGTGACAGAACCTATTGGCTGAAATGCTGTTTTGACACTAATCGGCTAACATCTTACCACCATTTAGCTAACCGTTAGCTTAGACTGAATACCTGAGATACATTTATTTAAAATTACTGCATTTCCATTGTCTTCTTAACAGAAACAGTCCTGAGTAATTTGAACTTGCTAAAAAGTCAGAAGTAGCCCCAATCCATATATTACCCTAACTCCACCCGACTGTAACGCCATACCCAAAAAAAGAAAATGTTCCCCTAATGAGACCCAGAAAATGGTCCTTGCACATCACTTTTCCAGAGCTCGGAAACCCCCCTAGACATTAAAAACCTTGCATGCACACACACACACAGGATATAGAGGTTATACTTTCCCAGCCATTCTCCTGACAGAAGAAACGTGACCCATTTTCACTAAGGGGAATAACCACGGGGAAAGAGAGATAGAGCGAGGCGAAGGAGAAAAAAGTACGAGAAAATCCCTCTGAGATAAGAAAGGAAGGAGGACACCTTAAACTACCTGCTCTGCTATTGTTCTGAGCACCAGAGAGAGAGAGAGGGAAGACGACTGGAGAACAGAAATAGAAGATGAGGGCATGTTTTGCTCTGGTTGCCCTCAGGGTCCCGGGAGAGGCCGTGCAGAGCCTTAACACCCTGTTATGCAACCGTTAGCATGTGCAGAAAACAAGGTCCCTGCACCAACCCCTGAAGGGTAAGGGGATTTTTAGCATGCAGTTGAAGAAATAACCTCAATGTATGATCTTGATTTGAACATACAGACATTTCTCTAAATATGTTGGTGCCATTTTAGGTCACAGGGACCACTTTCTTGTTGCTTCCTGTTGTGGAAACTGCTCTGTGGGGTTGTGGGAGATGGGGACTCTCTGTTGTTGTTTAATTTCTTATGTGTGCTTTCTTTGAAGATTCATAATGGAGGAGATGTTAGAGATAATGGCTGTTAGTGTGTGGGTGGTTCTTTGGTCTGCATTGCAGGGACAGGAGAGGAAAGCAAAGGTATTGCTATTCAATCTGCTTTAATCAATGTTTTCATATCAATCATGGATCAAATTACAGGGTTTTTTAGACCCCCCAATAAATGTATATGTTATGGCTTTAGTTCACTCTCACGGTTCTCATCAGCATTGTTACCAAACGGACCAAACGACATAAAGAAAGTTAATTATTAGCTAACGAACATTGTGCAGAAACTAGCAGTTAAGAGTGAGATATGTTCTTAATTATTTATTGGAGAAAAGGTTAACAGAAAAGAGTGAATATTGGACTTAAGTTATGTGCGTTTAATTTGTAAACAAGCTATGATTAGCTTACAAGGCTTGTTTCTGCTGACCTCTAGCGGATAAAAAAAACACATGTTAAAAAAAGTTCCAAAGTATACTGTCTAGAAATTAGGTTTATATATTCATTTACAATAATCACATTTATAGATGAAGTATATTGTGCTTCAAGTCACTGGTTAGTTATTTATTTGACGATTTCTTTCCCGAACCTAACTCAACATTCATTTATAATGTTCTCTTGATTATCTTGATGAAAAACTAAATAAAGCAGTAGTATGAAAGTTATTTCTATGACACAAGTCTGGCAATTACAACTTTATTTACTTTCTCAGGCTCAAATCAAGGTTTTTTCCCCGGCATCATCAGAAAAAAACCACATAACCAAGGAGGAGAGGACATTCCTCGTACCTTTTTGTTGCAATAACAAAGGCTCACCTCGGCTGCGGCAGTGTTCCAGTGGCTACTCAGCATTAATCTTTCATGGGCTTCTGTAGCAGGCGTGTGTGTGTGTGTTAGTCCTTCTGCAGCTACACACACACAAACACATCCAAGCAGACAATTACAACACTTATTTAACGGATTTGAAAATGAAGTACCCTCTCCCAGCTGTACATTTGCCAGTAATGGCTCAGAGGGAAGATACATTAGTTTTCCAACTTGGCCTTCATTTATCTTTATCAGTTGCATCATTCTCATTGAAAGCTCTTTGGTGTTATTTTCTTTTTGTATTATCTCCAGTAGTTTCTGTTAGTTTATGTTCTCATTTATATTATCTGCTCCTTTTGCTGCCACAACTCATTTCTCCCATGAGGGTCACTGAAATTCCATCTGATTACCCAATGTAATTTAATCATTCAACCTTTTATAAATACTCCCAATATTTGTGACCAAAGTTAACAACCTGAAACACATCAACACACAGTATTATATGTGAAATGAAGTTGATCATGTGTTCCACTTTGTGGTTTAATCTAGCCTGCAAAATGCTGAATGCTGTAAGGGAAGTCCTAAATTGCTAACAGTTTATAAGCTAATAGTATGTGGACTTAAAACGTCAAGTCAAAGGCACCTCTTCTAGCAGGGGGAAATCAACTCCCGCCCAGGGCCGCCGCTTGCGGACATGCGAGGCAGGCAACTGCTTGGGGCCCCGGACCAGAAGGGGGCCCCCAAAGAAGGTCGATTGAGAAGGTCCACAGCAACGACAACCTGAAACCCCCTTTAATTTACTGCAATGACATGTCTGGAAACCCCCTCTAGGGTGCCCCATGCATAGCGCGCTGTTAAATGCTGCTTCATAAGTTAAGTTTCGATTCTCCGCTCCGCTCCGGGGGGGGGTGCGTGGTGATGAAAAGCTGGTTCGAGGGGCCCCCAGTGAATGTTTGCCTAGGGCCCCCACATACTCTAGAATCGGCCCTGCTCCCGCCATGAGAAAAGTCCATCAAAAATATGCCGAGTACACAATAAATACCTCCTGTAGGTACATTACGTTTGATTGCTTTAGGTTGCACAGTGGTGTTTCCCCTGCAAACACACAGCATGAATTATTGATCACATGCAGGCAGGGTATCTCCTCAGCTCCCCTCTGTGGCTACGGGTAACTAGATGACACACACACACATCTCAACTCAACTGCTCCTGACAGGACAAGTAAACAGGAACTACTTTGCGGAAGAGGGATGAACTTTCTCCCTCTCTTGAGAAGTTGGCAGACAAACATTAGCGTTAAGCTTCCACAGAAGGAGAAGGATCACGCAAGTAAATGTTTCGTGCTTATTTTAGAAATGGATCATGGAAAACAAAGTAGCCTGACTGTCAGGGGTTTTCTAGAAAAATATATTATGAGGGCGCTAACGTCACTTACGGTAAAATTCCGGCCCCGCCCACATTCCAGCGAAAATAATGCTTTCGAGCGAAGCGGAAAATAATAGTTTCTTCATGTCTTAAAGCTGCAGAGTCATATATTGCACCCAAACAACGGTTTCTTTACTTCCTCTACAGAAAAAAGGACGATAAAAGTGTCTGCCGTCTGACGGTCCATTTGACACTATTATCATATTTTTGGAGTAATTATATATATATATATATATATACCGTTTTTGAATAACAAAAATATCGTTTTCTGGCATCACTTTAAATCCAGGGAAAATCTGCAT